GGTGTGAGGTTCTAAGCCTCCCCTCTGTTGATCCCCAATTTCTCACCTGATGGCCCCCCCTGCGACTGTGCCTGTCTTAGGTTGTTCCTCCCTTGAGGAATCTTACCCGTCTCTGGCTAACCAGTCATCTTCCGGGGCCATACAGGGAAATGTAAAGTTGGTAAGTGAGAGAGAAGCAATATTCTCTGAAAAGGTTAGCTTTTTACTTCTTTGCAGATTTATGCCCCATGGCTTCTATGCCCAGCATTTGTCTTAAGGTATTAAAACTTTTTTTTTTTTGAAATGATGTTTCAGGGTATCTAATCTGCCACACTAACATGATTGGAAATTGAAAAACCATTTTATACTCATTGTTTTCTGTATCTATTTGTTAGTATCAAATAAAAAATAATGACAAATTGTTCTTCAGCTCTCTGAAGTTAAAAAAGCTATTAGGACTTAAGCTGAAGCAAAAGACAGCTCACTCGACTGTAAGAAAACCTTTCTTGACTCAAAAGCTTCTAAATTTGGCCAACTAGAGAAGTTTTCAGATCTTCATCTATGGAAATTTTGGAAAGCAGCATACATTTTCCTTTTTCTATTTCACTTACTACTACAGTTCCTACTAATGCATTCTATCAAGTCATCTTTTAACACCACCTACTAAGTGTGTACTCTAGGAAACAATCAGAATTTCTAATACCAAAGAATCACTTACTCATGATGCTCCATTTCCTTCAAGTAAGATTTGAGGAAGCTCATAGAAATGCATTCAGTATAAAAGAAAATTAATCACTGAAAGAACTGGGGCAACAGGTAGGAAAATAATAAAGCTTTGGATAAGATTAACAAACAAGGGCACATAACGTTTTCTTCCCAATATAAATGGCCTGTATTTGGTTTTTGACTTCCTAATATACATCAGAGTAGGGTGGGGAGTAACCCATCCAAGTTGGTTTGAGTGTCACTCTGTGCTGGCTGGGCCAGATACACTCCCTTTCTGTAACACGGCAGAAACTGCATCGCAGCCCTGGTGACAAAGACTGACAGGAGTGTGGCCTGGGGAATATTTCTTACATTTTAATTATGAAAAATGATATTCATTTGAGCTACAACCACATTACTGAGGAGGGTGGTGTAGGACTTGGTGAAGGACTGACCCTGGGTGGGGTCTGGGGTAGAGAGTGGAGCTTCCTTGAGGTTCAGATTTCAGGTTTCACTGCCCTTTACAGGTTTCCATTTTGCCAAAACAAGTGCTGCTCTAAGCCCTCCATAATCTTGTGGCTCCTGGTTTCAGAAGGGCCTGGAATGGGTCTGGGCTTTTAGAAGCTACTTAACAGTAGCAAAATCCTGTGTTGTGTTGATCTCAGCTGATCTTTCTCAGGTCCAAATTCATAGGGCCAAATTATAAGGAAACCAGCTCAAGATTTGGAACTTTTGGAGAATCCTTTTGCTTTGTATATCTGAGTCTTGTCAGCAGTTCCTGAACATGAACAGGTGTGTATGCTATAATAGGCACAGTGAAAGCGCATGAAAACAAATGGGAAGTTCATGGTTGGATTTCTTAACTTTTGGGGTTAGTCATCTTTGAGAAAGCAAATGGGGCTGACCTTATGTGTTGTTGGCTCCCAACATAATAACTAACAACAACAAAAAAGACCAACTTAGGTAAACACTGGTTCACAAATGTGAAATGGTTTAAGCATTTTTTTTCTTTTTGCTTCAAGGATTTTGACTCCTTCTTCTCTGCAAAAGAAGAGAATATTATTTATTCATTTCTTGGTTTGGCGCCCCCTCCAGGCTCAAAGGTAAGCTTGGAACACCCTATTGGGGCTCAATACAGGTTATAAGTGATGGAAGTCAGCATCTGAGACTGTTAAACAGTGATTTTAAATCCACATGATTTTAATATATTCTTATTCTGATGAAGTCTCATGCATAGAGATAATGCAAATTTTTTACTAAAATATGTTCCAAAACTATGCTTTTCATATTTTTGCTAATTTACACTTTGTTATAAGTTTTACAGTACTTAAGAAATATTGTAGCATTTAATAATCTTAAGTACACTAGTTAAATATGTACAAATATGAGTTCCCAGGTTGTGTTTATGAAATTATTTGGTATGAATTGACTTATTATACAGCTTACGTTAGTTAATTTATGATATTTCATCCTATGTTAATTTTTCTACCTAAAATGATTGAACTTTGCTCTTTTAGCCTCATAAAGAGGGAAAAAGTAAGATATATACGTAAGAACAAGATAAATTTCACCAGGTTCTTTTCCCTCCCATGCCATTTCATCTTTATTATATACGTCAATTAAATAATCATGGTAATAAAACAATACCATGCATTTGAATCTCTAATGGAGATCACCCGGCTTCATGCTATGCATGGCTTCCACATGCTCACCTCCTCCAAGATTCTCATACATGACTCTCCATCAATACAAGTACACATTTGGTTAACTCATTTATTTCTTGAACAACTCAAAATCCCCACTTACAGAGATGGGTTTATCTTAGAGGCATGTGGGTATGCTGTCTCTCCCACGTCAGCATGCTTCAGGCAATGACATTTGAGGTCTCTCAGTGTATAGGTTAATACATGGAGGTCTAGCACTAACTCCTTCTCCAGGTGGTAACAGGTAGATTTCACAGGTGGTTAATGGTTCTGTAGGAGGAAAAAAACTTCCCTTGAAGAGCAATACCTTTCTAGCTTGGTCAACTCTCAGTGCAGCACATTTCAAACACTTTATTGACAGTTTAAAAAGGTTACTACATGCAATTTAATCTTTTTTATTTGGTATAGGAGTTTTATTTGGTATTGGAATTTGTTAACATGGTCATGTTAGTTTAATTATTACCTTTAAGAAAGAGATGGTGCCGTAGTGTTAAAGTTCATTTCTTGGTGGGGACACTCAGGTCGCTTGTGTTTTGAAGATGGGAAGGAAGGATAGAGGGAAGAGTGTTTCAGGCAAAGGGAAGAGCAAGTGCAAAAGCCCTGAGGCAGGAAAGAGCTTGGGGAGTTGTAAGAATGGCTACGTGGCCCATGTTGCTGGAATCAGGGTGGCCTATGGGCCTTAGCAGTATTCTGGGTTCCTTCTTAGCACAGTGGGGACATTGTAAGGGTTTTGAACAGATGATAAACATAATCTTATTTCCTTCTTTAGACCTCATTTTGGCTACCATGGGAAGAATGGCTAAAGAGGTGCAAACTATTATAGTACTACAATGAGATGTCCTAGCAGCTTGGATTAGGGTGGTGGGGATAGCACTACACAGAAATGGACGTATCAGGATTTCATTCCTTTTTATAACAGAATAACATTCCATTGTATGGTTAGACCACATTTTATTTATCCACTGATCAGTTGATAGGCATTTGGGTTGTTTGCATTTTGGGGCTGTTTTGAGGAATGCTGTTTTGACCACTTGTGTATCTTTCATTTAATTTTACTTGTTACTTTTTAGAATTACAGGCTGCTGTGCATCAGAATTATTTGTGCAGTTTAAAAAGTTCAGATACCTGAGTTCTATTTCAGACCTAGTAACCCTGAATTACATGGGGAGAGACTGGGGAAATACTCATTTTTTCAAAGTTTTTGGTTGATTCTGATGGATACTTCTGGTTAGCAAGCACTAAACTGAGACTCACTTATAACAAATATTCATGTATGTGCCTCTCTAAAATGAATGTAGTACCGTATTTGCTTTAGTTGAAGAACTCAAACATGACATAGAAACTGTGAGGTCACTTCATTTTCTTCACTCCCTGGGGGCCACCAACATTATGAATTTAAAAAAAACTATATATAAAATCTTTATGTTTAACTCTACAGCAGTACATCTGTTCTTTTGTGTTTTTATGCCCAGTTGGTATCAAAGACGGAATGTTCTGCAGCTTTCTTTTAAAAACACATTGCATTTTGAGATGTATCCATACTGATGTATATAAGTCTATTTCTGCCTTTGCTATGTTTCACCTTATCCCATTAAAAAAATATCTCATCTCAGTTTTTAGATCCTGCCCAGATTTGTGCTTACATACTGTCATGTTGCATGAAATTGTCTTTGATTAAGTGGAGGAAGGGGATGACCACGGAATTATAAAACCCAGCCTAGAGACCTAGGAAGACCATCCAGGCTAGCTTCTTCTCTTCCCAGGGGAGGAATTTGAGCCCAAGGGGTTTATGTGATTTGCAGAGACACCCCACTGATTAGCAGCATGGCATGTGCTAGGACCTTTGGTGTTGTTGGCATTATGTGTGCCTATTAGTGTTTATGTGTGTGCACATGGGGAAAGTCCTTTGAGCATCCTAAGGGGAGACAGCCACTTGATTATTTCTGGAAATGATACTATTTGTCATGGTGTTGTTTTGTAGTAAACAACATTGTGGAGAAGAGTCAGCAAGGAAATGAATCTCACCCAACCTAAAAATAGATATTCTTGACAATCACGTAGAAAATATATGCCTATAAAATGATGTTAAGTGTCATTAGCAACATTATTGCTTCTAGAAAACTTTTCTTGTCTTAGGCAGGCTGTACCAGGCCAAGTACCAGGCCAGGTTTCCCAGGAAGGCTTTGTAAGTAAGCATTGGCTCCACAAAGTCAAACTCAGTTCTTTAAGAGCATCTGGTCATACCTGATTAAATGAACATCTTTCTTGAGTTCACACTCCAGGCAAAGCCTTGGTTGCATGACTAGTTTACAAATTATAGGTCGGCAACATGGGGTACAGATTCTTGTGGAGCCCTGGCAAATAACTGTATTACTATAAAATGAAAAAATATTCAATGAGAATTTTCCGATTTGTAGGGATCAGGCAGAGAGAATATCATTTACAAATGGTTGAAGCAATTTGTAAGCAACTTGCAAGCAGAGACTACTACATTGCTGCGATTTATAAAAAGCTGTAAAGAGGAAGACAGAAGGTTTCTTTATATATCCAGAAAACAGACATTAAAATAACACTGACAGTATTCCAGAACAGAACTGTAGTCATCCCTCATCATTCATCAGTTCTGTGTATCTAATTTTTGTTCCCTTGCATCTGGGGGTGGTAGTCTCATGAACCCATCTGCTTCTCAACTAGAGTTCTGGAAATCCTGACTTTGTCCACTGTTTGGTCTCAGTTTCTTTAAACGATGCCCTCAGAAGCCTATAGCCCAATATACCTGGCATATAATTCTTTCTTATGGGGCTCTGGGTCATTCTATGTGGAAAACGAAGCAGTCTAGCCTATAGCTGATTGCAAAAGCTTTCAGGGAAGCATCATAGTAAGATAAGCTGAGAAAAATACCTGTGGATGACAAAAGACTTATAATGAGTGGGGTTAATTTTTTACTGATAATTTTCAAAGGTGAAAGAATTGAAAATTATAACAAGAGTAATGCTTGATTGTTTCTGTTGCATGCAAAACAAAATAATAAAGTCAATACAAAATAGTTTAGACAAAATATCCAAAAGTGTAATCACTAGGCCTGTTTTCAAAGGTGATAGCAAATATTATATCTTGTTTGTAACAATGAATGGAGGGAAAAATCTTGATGTAATTATCCAGAGACATACTATACTTTGAATATACCAAGCATATATCAAGAATATTAAAGATTCAGTAGGTCTGGAATAGATCCTAAACATCTCCATATTAATAAAACTATATGAGCAGGTAATGGGAATCCCCAAGTGAAAACCACTGTCCTAGAGCATGTTAGATTGAAATTAAAGGTGCAAACGATGACTAAGTTATTAACATTTGAAGCAGATAACCAAAGTTATGATTGACAATCTATACCACTGTCAATTATCAGGCAAAGAAGCATTGGATAAATGTATTGTATGCATTATTTTAGTCAGGGGAATATTATTAAGATACCAATGAAAATAGACAGTTATATATGTAATTAGATTTCCCCTCACTGGGGGAGATAAGTAGTCACAACAATGTTAAAGCTTTACATTTACAGAACGGATGGGGTGTGACTATTTGGTATTGGAATTCGGACATCCAGGTCAGGGCTGTCCCCATCATGTAGCCGCCTCAGCTGACATTCCCACACAACACTGATGTTGCACGAAAGAGGTTTCAAATCCCTCTGCTGGAGTCACGTGGCATCCTCTGTTGGAAGACAGATTCTCTCTCAGCACACATCCAAGTCCGATGAATGAGGCACAGATAAGACATCTGCCTAATGTAATTTGTGGCTAAAAACTGTGTGTGATTGAAAGTTTTGATACTCATTTTCTGGTATGATTAGTGAAATTTACTTGAAAGCAATTTTGAATAACGCCAAATATATTTATTGTTATTTGTTTTCTATTTGTCCCCTCTGCTTTTATTTCTTTATTCTATGCTTTTTTGGGGTTTTCTTTTAGGATGTATTTTAGACTTCCCTTTTAATTTATCAGTTGGGTTTTTAGCTGTACCTCTTTGCATTATGTTTCAGTAGTTACTTTCATGGTTGTAATATATGTTTTTAATATTTCACACTCTAGTGTTAATATTAAACATTTCAAAATATGCAGAAACATTGCAATCATGAATGTGCATTTATTTTCTGGCACCATCCTTTATGTTATACATACCATGTGTATCACGTATATAACCAACTCTACTATACAATATTACACATTTTGCATTGAACAGTCCTATGTATTTTAAAGTAAGAAGAAAAAGAATCTTTAATATTTACCCAAACATTTCTTATTTCTGATGCTTTTCATTCTTTCTGAAAAATCAAGTTTCCATCTGCTGTCATTTCCCTCTGGCCCAGAGCACTTCCTTTAGTGTTTTGCACTGTTCTTTAGTACACGTCTGTTGGCAGTGAGTTCTCTTGGTGTCCTGTTATCTGAAGACTTTTTCACTGGGTGCAGAATTCATAATTGATGTTTTTTTTTCTTTTGGCACTTTAAATTTTGCCTTTTCCTTCTGTCTCCTGGTCTCCATAGTTTCTGAGACATGAGGATTATTTGATTCCTTGTTCCCTGTCATTTTTCTCTGGATGATTTCAAGACTTCCCTTTTACCTTTGACTTTCAGCCTTTTGAATATGACACATAATCACACATAGGTGTGATTTTCTTTACCTTTATCCTATAGGGTTTGCTGATTTTCTGGAATCTGTAAATATATGTCTTTCACCAGATTTAGGAAAATCAGCCATTATATTTTCAAATAATATTTCTGCCCCATTTGCTCTCATATCCCCTCTGGAACTGTAATTACATGTATGTGAAACCTTTCGTTATTTTTCCATACTTCTGTGAAACTTCTTTAATTACAAAAAAATTCTTCTCTCTGATCTTCAAATTGGATAATTTCTATTGATCTATCTTTAAGTTCACTTAGTTTTTCCTCTGTTATCTTAATTCTGCATCCAGTCTAATAAGTTTTTAATTTCAAATAGTATCTGTTTTTCAGTTCCAGAATGTTTCAAGTTGGCAGAGATTAAAAAGAACAATCATCTTCATTGGTCATGATGCTAAAGGGAAAAGGATATTCACATATTACTATGGGACTATGAATTGCTGCAATTTCTTTTTTTGGAAAGAAATCTAATCCCCTCTCCATACCTATTTTATTCAGTTTAGTATAGTGTTGTTTATACAGGTATAAACATGTAAACATTCTGAACAACCATCAATTGGGAAATAGTTGAATGAATTATATTTCATATTAGGCAGAGGTTAAAAAGAGTGAGTTAGAACCATATGAATTAACTGGGACAAATGACACATTAAGCTAAAAAATCAAGTTGTTCGTAGGGTATTATCACTTCTGTTTTAACAAAGCACAAACATAAAACAAAAATAGCAACCAACCAAAAAGAAAAATAGCCTCTACATATGTCTTAGGATAGAGTTAGTACATATCCAAATTTAGTATTGACTATTATTGTGGGAGGGGCATGTATTTGCCTTAATTTTTCCCATGAGCTTGAAGTGCCTTTGTAATAAAAATAACCTATTTTTCCCTAGTTGTATTGAGTTGTATTGAGAAATAATTGATACATAACATTGTGTTAGTTTAAGGTGTATCAGTCCTATGTATTTTAAAGTAAGAAGAAAAAGAATCTTTAATATTTACCCAAACATTTCTTATTTCTGATGCTTTTCATTCTTTCTGAAAAATCAAGTTTCCATCTGCTGTCATTTCCCTCTGGCCCAGAGCACTTCCTTTAGTGTTTTGCACTGTTCTTTAGTACACGTCTGTTGGCAGTGAGTTCTCTTGGTGTCCTGTTATCTGAAGACTTTTTCACTGGGTGCAGAATTCATAATTGATGTTTTTTTTTCTTTTGGCACTTTAAATTTTGCCTTTTCCTTCTGTCTCCTGGTCTCCATAGTTTCTGAGACATGAGGATTATTTGATTCCTTGTTCCCTGTCATTTTTCTCTGGATGATTTCAAGACTTCCCTTTTACCTTTGACTTTCAGCCTTTTGAATATGACACATAATCACACATAGGTGTGATTTTCTTTACCTTTATCCTATAGGGTTTGCTGATTTTCTGGAATCTGTAAATATATGTCTTTCACCAGATTTAGGAAAATCAGCCATTATATTTTCAAATAATATTTCTGCCCCATTTGCTCTCATATCCCCTCTGGAACTGTAATTACATGTATGTGAAACCTTTCGTTATTTTTCCATACTTCTGTGAAACTTCTTTAATTACAAAAAAATTCTTCTCTCTGATCTTCAAATTGGATAATTTCTATTGATCTATCTTTAAGTTCACTTAGTTTTTCCTCTGTTATCTTAATTCTGCATCCAGTCTAATAAGTTTTTAATTTCAAATAGTATCTGTTTTTCAGTTCCAGAATGTTTCAAGTTGGCAGAGATTAAAAAGAACAATCATCTTCATTGGTCATGATGCTAAAGGGAAAAGGATATTCACATATTACTATGGGACTATGAATTGCTGCAATTTCTTTTTTTGGAAAGAAATCTAATCCCCTCTCCATACCTATTTTATTCAGTTTAGTATAGTGTTGTTTATACAGGTATAAACATGTAAACATTCTGAACAACCATCAATTGGGAAATAGTTGAATGAATTATATTTCATATTAGGCAGAGGTTAAAAAGAGTGAGTTAGAACCATATGAATTAACTGGGACAAATGACACATTAAGCTAAAAAATCAAGTTGTTCGTAGGGTATTATCACTTCTGTTTTAACAAAGCACAAACATAAAACAAAAATAGCAACCAACCAAAAAGAAAAATAGCCTCTACATATGTCTTAGGATAGAGTTAGTACATATCCAAATTTAGTATTGACTATTATTGTGGGAGGGGCATGTATTTGCCTTAATTTTTCCCATGAGCTTGAAGTGCCTTTGTAATAAAAATAACCTATTTTTCCCTAGTTGTATTGAGTTGTATTGAGAAATAATTGATACATAACATTGTGTTAGTTTAAGGTGTATAATGTAATGATTAGCTATATGTATATATTGTGAAATGATAACCACAGTAAGTTCAGTTAACATTCATCACCTCACATAGTTACAATATTGTTTCTCTTGTGATGAGAAAAATAACCTAATATTTCAAAAGACTGGGAACCATAGGTAAGTTAACAGAGCATAAAGCAGGAGGTGTAGACCTAGTCTTGCCCCCAACTTGGAGTTTTCTGCCTTAATTTTCTGTATCTAAAGTGGGAGTGGGAAGGACCGTCCTACTTACTCAGGTTACAATGCTGTTGTAAAGATAAAATTTTAAGCATAGTTAAAAAATGTTGAAATGCAAGCTATTATCCTCAAGAAAACTCTCAAACATTCTCACTGTATATGTTGCAGGTGACAAAATCACCTGAGGAAGCATCTTCCCTTCCCAATGGCGATGTAGTGGGAGAGGCACAGGGCACCCCAGAGGTAAGAGTTATCTCCCAACCATCCTCCCCCAGGCCCATTTCTCAGAATGTCTACTTGGTTCTCATTTTTCTATACCCATCTGTCAGTCAGTCTACTTTATTATCTGTCTGTCATCTATCCACCCATCCATCATCTGTCTTCCTATCTTTCACCATCATTCATCCATCCATCATCTGTTATCTATCTCTCTATATTTTTTTCTACTTGCTAAAATGATAAATTCTCTCTTCACACAAGCAACAGAAAACAAACTGCTTAAATATTGAATCCTTTGGAATTTTCATAGACATCAAATGAGTGAATTGTAACTCCTCATTAGGGGGTTTATTACCCTACCATGCATATGAGTCAGATCTACTGACTTACACCAGCAGATCCAGTCAGCCATATTAAAGGTTGGAGATTACATACCCTAATAGCTAAGTGACCTAATAAATAGGTCTCCGTTGGCTTTGTTTATTTACTGTCTATCTGAATAAGAAAACCATGACGTGTTGTCTGGATTTTCCTTGAAAGCTTACCTAAGGTTAGTGATACTGTGAATTTCCTTTATGATCAGGAAACAGAGAAGGCTGAAGAAGGTGGAGAAACTGAGGCACAAAAAGAGGACAATGAAGATGCGGGCGACCTTCCCGAGTCTCAAGAGAAGAATGTGAGTGTTGGCTTTTTTCTCTGGATTCAGCTCAACCAGCATTTATTGAGCTCCTACCTGGAGCCAGGAATCTTTCTGGGCACACAAGAGAGAACATGAAAGTACAGAGCTGAGGGTTTAGCTAAGAAGGAAGCAGGTAATTTTCACGTAATGTGTTAATTGCTGTGGTCAAGGAGCATAGGGGGCTAAAAGGAAGCCGGAGGAAGGACCTGGAACACAGGCTTGGAGGGACAGGCTAGACAGGCTTTAATAATTTGTAGCTGTGAGTTAGGGTTAGGGTAGGAGCTGGAGGATAGGAAGGGGACTTTGGGGAGGGAAGCTGACACTCAATTCAAATCCATTTGGGAATAGCAGATCCCAGCTGATTCAAGGCCTGCAATCTAATTCTAAAAGGGTTACAATTCAGGGGCCACAGAAGAAGGGTGGGACTGTGGGAGAGCAATAGGAGACTGTGGTTCTAGAAGCACTAAGTTGAGCTAATGGAGGATCTATCTGATGGGCCACTCAGTCAAGGTATTCTGAAAATGTGGCTGGAAGCCAGGAAAGGGGACATCCTAGTGCAGAGGGAGCCTGAATAGGGTTGGGTGGCCAGCACAGGGCTGAGCCTCCCATTCAGAGAATTCCATGGTCTTCTGTGTTGGGCCAGTTGGAGCAAAGACTGTGTACCAAGCCTGATGGTTGGCATTTTCACCAATTTATTGATTCCAGGAGACGTGTGGACAGATTTTAAGGTAGTTTGACCCTTGTTTCCAGCAGATGATTAGGGAGGGTCATGACTGACCACCACCCTGTGGAAAATGGGGGTTGGGGGCTGGGTATCAATTTGTCTTTATGTTGAGGAATTTAAGTTTGATAGAGGCCAGGGCAGTAAACCTTCATATTTGAAGACTGCCATTTCAAAATGTTGCTAGTTTAAGGCGCTTTGAAGTTTTTTTGTTTGGAAGAAAGATGGAATCTTCAGTCTTGACCTGGAAGTTAGATGGGTTTCATGGTAGCCTAGATAATTCAGAAATAATAAATTTTAAATTAAATGTAGGGGCAATTTTGTTATCTTGCAACTTAAAAATCTTTTTTTATAATCTAAACTTTGCATGAATTGCCTAATGCACTTTCAGTATTATTAACTTTGAAATTCAGTTTGCTTCTCTTAAGACAGAGAGACAAACATACAAAACATTAGACCCCAATTCTTTTTTTCCTGAGAGGCTGAGAAAGTAGCATTTTTATAACCAGACCCTGCTTCCTACAGAAAGGGCCTGGTTTGCCTCAGCTTCCCAGCCACTAGGCTGAGTTAGTTCAATGAGGAGACAAGCCGTCCAGCCTGGGGGTTCTCTTCGTTACAATTTTTAAAAATTATGAGCCCTTGACAAAGTAAATTATTATCTGGTGAATCCTGATAGGAATTTGAAAAGTCATTTTTATTTTTTCCATGGGTTGTGATGAAGAAATAACTAAGTAAAAGACATTTTAATTTTGAATGAATACATTATTAACATGGATTATAAAGCTTTTCAATTCTTTAATGATATTTATTTTAGCATAAAGACAGATTCTGACTTTTTCCCATTTGACAAGTGATACTTGCCCTTTGACTTACTTTAATTCAGTTAAATAAGAAAAAAAACCACCGTGATTTAGCAGTAGACATTAAGAATTCTATAAGAGCATGATTAGTTTTGGGACTGACTATATAGGAAAATCAACTACAAATTAAAAAGGAATTAGTCTTAACAAAGAACGAAATCTTGCCACTTGTGACAGTAGGATGTCCTAGAGGGTATTATGTTGTCTGAAATGAGTCAGAGAGAAACAAGTACTATATGATTTCACTTATATCGAGAATCTAAAAAACAAAATACATAAAAACAGAATAGAAATGGACTCTTAAACACGGAGACAAAAACCATCTGATTTTAGAATGCTTGCATTTTGTGCTGAAAGAACCACCTGCCTTTTCTTATGGCTTTTGGGTTTGTTTTGCAGGGTTAAGCCAGGAAAGCCATCCTGGCTATTTCTCTGCACACCTTCCTCATGGTGCACCGGGGCTTAAATAGGCTTTCCTGCAATAAATGGAAAGGCCAACTAGATCACCGTGTTTTACCTTTTCAGAGTTGATTTTCAAAGTACTAGACACATCTTCTAGGTATTACAGCTTAGACAAATCCAAGGCTTTTAGGTAAAAACTCTGGCTCTGTTGAAAACCTTCTTAAGGAGATTTCTTGGACTCTTGCTTTTTGCCCCTCCTAGCGCATGGCATGTCTGTGGAGATACTACCTCTGTTTTTGTAAGACACTCCCGGAGGGACAGAAAGTGCAAAGTATTGTGGGCCTAGATTTGGTTCCTAAGACTCGTGTGTAAAGAATGTGAGCTTCCTTTAATTATGTAGGTGTCATTAGATCTGCTTCATGCCTCTACTGCATGCCTGGCAGGACGTCCAATTTCGGTGGGGTGGTTTGGAGACCCATTCCTCCCTAAGGATGCCAAGTTACCCTGGAGTCTTCAGTGGGGACCGGAGGGGGAGGCTCTGGTTTTTTGATGTGGTCACGAGGTGATGTGGCTTTACTGCTGCCTCTTGCCACTTTGGGTGCTGGTCCCTCTGTCCTGGCTGGACGGGACCTGCCTCTTGGTGACCAGCCCTCTGACTGCAGACGGTGCTGCCCCTGGGTGCAGAGTGCCCCGCTCCTCCCTGCCTCTTCTCTCTTGGTCTGGCTGCTTCTGTCAACCCGACTCTAAACCTTCAGCTCCCAGCCCTTTCTTCCAAGGACCACCTAGCTTCACCACCTCTATTAGCTCAGGTTTTGAAAAGCTAGGCCTGAATTTCTTCTGTAGGGGTGGAAAACCAGAGCAAATATGTGGCTATCTTCCAGGTGGGTGGGGAGGGAGAGTAACTTTGTTCCCGCTCCCCAGTTTCATGTAGAAGGGAAAACAAAACAAGAATTCATATCCTGGTATGCAGCTACAGTATTTGTGACAAGGCATACAAATGTATTTTAATCTTCTTTTCTGAAGTAATTACAGATGCACAGGGACACAGTTCAGAGTCCTGTGTACCCTTTACAAGGCTTCCCCCAGCGGTGACATCTCAGATAGCTGCAGTATATTATGGAGATCAAGAATATGCCATTGTGTATCTCTGTTAAGCAGACTGCAGACTGTGTTCAGTGTTCATCCTCTTTTTAGACCATTCATTTATGTGTTAAGAACAGCTTTCAAGTGTGCAATGGTAAACTCCCTCCAGCAGCGAGCAGCGTTAGACCAGCCAAGTAAGTGTGTCTGTGTCATGGATTTGTCCATCAAAGCTCAACTATTACACATACTCAGTCAGTACACAACTTACAAATGCTCACCAGTGCTGTTTTAATGGGGAGAAATATTTATCTAAGAATATCTCATTGATTAAGAAAAATCAGAAATGGAGACAGGAACATTACGTCCCTTCATGGCATGGACTTCTCCTGACCACCGACCCCAGTCCCTGGGGTTCCTACACACAAGATGCCAAGACGGTACTGCTTTCCTGCAGAGGAGGAGAGGGGAGCTTGCAAATGGTGCCTGAGGAGTACGGAGGAAAGCGGAAGGTCCCCTCGGCTTCAGGGCACCCTCGGCGAGGCGCTGCAGATGGGCTGTGAGGAGAGCTTCGTGCGACAGGCTCCATGCAGTTTGTTCATTTTGCCTCTGGTTTTCATGGAGGTAAAATTATTTCAAGTGGTTTTCTTTGCCAACTCAAAGGTCCTCTCCAAAATCTTTTAAGATCTTGGCTTGATTGTCTACATGATTACGGTCTGTAACTCACTCCACTTGGCTCCTCCGCAACTGGTTTTAAGGAAAGCTGGTTTCTCAGGTGGAAGTTGGCTGGCTGGCGAGTCTCAGGCTGGGTCCTGTGGTGTCAGAAGGTCGGGAAAAATCTGCTCTTGTCCTTGATCTCCAGTTGCTCTGGGGACACCTGCCCCCCCACCTGGCCCTCAGCTTCTGTCCATATCAAGCCACCTGTCCTAACGGCTACTGCCTGACACTCAGCACGGCCGGCACTAGTCTTTAATCCTGGCCATGTGCCTGCCTCCCTGGCCAAGTTCCCGACAGAAATAGCTGCTGGAGAAAGTTCTCAGCGTTCGCACTTCTGAGGTTTCCCCTGACCAGCTTTCGTAGAAGAACACGAGGTGAACTGATTTGAAGTTGTAGCTTTGTCCAGTTTACGGTTCATACCCTCTCCTGAGATCTTGCAAGAGCTCAGCTTAATTGACCATGTAATTATAATTATCTTTAAAAGAAGCCTTTTTGCCAGTACAGTTATTGGTCAACCACGAAGGTCAGTTCAAGCTTTGCATGTAGCTGGCTTTTAAGGATCGGCCTAATTCAGATACTGCATTATTTTATGAGGTAAGGATGGAAGTTTAAATTTTTATTTAAGTAATATGTCCACTTCCTCCTAAGGGGGACTTGGGGCAGGAGTGGCATACACAAATGCATTCATTCAACCTTTTATTGATAGACTGAGTGTCAGCACATGGCAGGCAGAATTCTGGGCACGGGGAGGGGACCCACAAAAATGATGAAGTTCCCTGTCCCCAGAGAGCTCGGTCCTGATAGAGCTGGTGATGGTACTATCCAAGGTTTTTCTAAGCTTGCTTTATCTCCAGGCTAAGCATTTCTATAAATCTCTGAGCAATTACTTCTCTATTTAATCTCTTTCAAGAAAGTACTGATTGAGTCCTAGGTCCCTGGGTAATTGCCGCTCGCTATAACCTGTAAAAGTTGAGGGTAGTGCTTGTTCCCCTAAGACCCTAGAGCCCTTCAGGCCAGCTCTGAGGATAACCCAGATTTTAACAGTGTGTATCTTCATACAGGGAAACAGTATGTTTGTTTCAGGTGAATACAGGTAACACACATAATTGGATTTAGAAGCGTGAAATTCTACATAGTTGATAAACCTATGTTGCTTCTTGTCAATTTTAATTTGGTCTCATGTGGAGAAGAAAATCAATGTTCTTCAGGATCCAGAG